GCTTTTCTAATGGTGCAAAAAAAGGTTTGTACTAAATCAGCTTGATTTCTCCGAGGAACAGATAAACAGAAGAGGATTTGCAACAGACCGAAAAACTGTGCTGGTATTTCCTGCTAATTCAAAAACTCTAACCGTATTTTACAATACCGACTTATTATTACAAAAAAATTAGAAATACTGTTTTGTATGAAACCAAAGCATTTAGATTTTTATGTTTTAAATAAACCCTTTTCAAGTTTAGAAGGAAAACTAGAAAGCCTTTTGGTTTGATGGAGTATACTAGTACGTTTTTGTGATGGAGTATACTCTGCTAACTTATAAGATGCACGTAATGGAAATTTCAAGTGAAATTTGTTTTTGGCATTATTATACATATTCAGATTCAGCTTAACGAGCTGATTACGAATAACACCTTCCGAGCCGCCACAAGCCATTTCTTCATGGAGAAAAACTCAAATTACTGAGAGGACCTGTTTTTCTTCGAAAGTATCAGTACTATTTATACAAAAAACAACTGTGAGTGATCAAATTTTGCAGCAATTATTAAATGGCATACTCCAGTTTATAGTATGGAGTTGTTTTAGCAGAAATAACACAGATATACTTTTGAAGAAAAACATTAGAACGATTTATCTCGACAATGAAATGCTTTTGGATAAATCGACTGCCTTTAAAGAATTTTCAGCTTTGTGCAGAATTTCATTCTCTACATAATAAATTCTAAACATGATCTCTTCACAAATCCAGACCTGATGAGCGATCGCCACCATTTTCGATGCGGCGACCTGATCGTCGAATACCGTGGTCGATACGCCAGCCAGCTAATTCATTCTCGAATGGTCGGCGATCACCTACTGATGATGCTAACGAACCAAATTTCAGGTTTACCGATCTGAAGGAGCAAAGTTCAAGAAGCAACAATAATGAAAAACCACTTAATTTAGAAAATTATGTTACTGTTTAGCTCGATAACGTTATGACTACATATGATGACAGATTAGTATCCCTAATACGTATTGTTATA